TATTTTAGATTTGCCTATTCCGCTAGTTGCTGCTTATATATGTTGATTACTAATAAATAATCTCTCACCACATGAAGGTGGCGTCGGGCATGGCCATCCCAATGGACCCTTCAGGTACTTACCACTGCAGGCCGATTCCAGCAGGATACTCCAAGGTCGAAGTTGAGTTGGTCGAAGGCGCGTACGAGGACCTCGAGCTGGATTACCCTGGAGGAGACGGTGAGACGCATCTACGAGACACAAGCCATGCCATTATTCTATGGCGCAGGCAGTACATCATCCTCCCTGGGCGACAAGCGGCGTCTCGTGCACCATCTCCTCCGGCTCCGCCATCTCCTCCTCAGGATCCTGCACTGTCTCCTCCTCATGCTCTAGCACCGTCTCTACCTCAGGCTCCTGCACCGACTCCTCCTCAGACTCCTGCACTGACTCCTCCTCGGGCTCCTACACCGACTCCTCCACAAGCTCCTCTTCCGGCACCTTCAAAGTCAAGGGCCCCCCAAGCTCCACCGCCTGCCCACACAAGGGCAATGAAGAAGGCGAAAGTTGACACCGCCAAGAACAAGGACCCGGGGTACGATTGCACGCAAGAGGAGCTTGACGTTTACGTGGCATCAGAAGTCAAGAGACAATTCAAGCCTCGAAGTCCAGAAAAGAAGATTCCTATAGACCCGAGTGTCATGAACTTCTTCAGGGGTATGTCTGCACCTGCCAAGGAGGCCATTAAGCTATCGGACTATGAGCAAACGCTGAAGAAAGCATCTTCTGGAAAGTCCAAACCAGTCCCTCAGCTTAGAGAGCAACCAAACCAGGAGATCGAGCCGTTGGTGACCGGTAAAGAAATGACAATAGAAGAATTTATTACTGACACCGGTCTAACTACGGATCAATTGCTAGGAGTCGCACCAATCGAAAAGGCGGAAGTGAAATACATGTACGAACTCGGTAAACCGCTTGTCAAGCCTGAGCTGCTGCAGTCCCTACCCACACAAATGTACAAGTTCCATCAGCTGTACATGGAGATGAGCGTCACCGGTAGAGAAATGATCGGAGCGAGGATCAGGGACACGGACTTCTTGCAAGGAGATGACATTCTCTGGATCAATTTCAAGGGAATCTACGAACTATACCAGCTAGACGCCCTCGACGTCTCTATTATGAGTTGCTGGATTTTGTAAGTATATCGTTCAGTTAGATTTCTTACTACGTCTCCTTTAATTAATTAGGTCCTTGTATATAAGTAGACTATAGAAAATAATATACTCCCTTTTATCGTTGTAGAATAGAGATTCAAAGGGCCCGACGGCGGGGGGTTTTCGATACTGGATTCATTGACCCTCGGAAAGTAAACGTCGCAATGCTCGACCAATATCTGCAAGCCACAGAGGACAATCTCGTCCATCTCCTGAAGGTGCAGCATTACAAGACGTTCATACTGTTGCCGTACAACACAGAGTTAGTTTAATTTTACTGTCTTCCTATATCAAATTTCATTCCCGTACGAACTTGCTAAGTGTTTCATATGTAATGCATCCCACGCACATTGCAGATTCCACTGGGTGCTTTTACTCTTCGACCTGTCGGCCTGCACCGTCAACGTATATGACTCAATGGATAAAAAAGAGTCTACGTTTGACAAGGTTTTCGAACTTATAGATAGGTACCGTCATAAGTTCCTCTGTTAATTAAGAAAATCTTGTTATGTTAATTGCTACTACGAATCATAGCTTTAAACTCCATGTAAGGCTTGGTATCAGTTCCGTCATTTGGTCCGCGGCAAATGGAGAGAAAGACTTAGGCGGAAGTTCAAATTTCCTGTGAGTACACATGCTCTACATTTATATTTCTCCGATTCAAATGCATACAAGTGTATATTAATTAGATCTCTCGTTGTTTGTCATTTATTTGTAGTGCGCAAAGCAAAAGCAGGGAACTAACTTGTGCGGCTATTACGTGTGCGAGTATTGCCACTGTCTTGTAGACCAAATCATCACCACAAGAGAGCTCGATGTACATACAAATAAATTCAAAATTTCATTACGTATCGATTTCTTGTTTAATTACTAATCAATTTCATACATTCATATAGTTTATTCGCATGAGAGATAACCTGACCACACACAAGGAATTTATCGCGGCGGTTCAAGAACAACTCATGGGATTCATCAACGAACAAATCCTTGATCCCAAGGGTGAATTCTACTACGACGGAAACACAATTCATAGGTCCTTAGCTTCTGAGCTAGCGACTACTACTACGTCGAAATCGTAGCTAGCTAGGACATATAATGGATTGTAATTAATACATGACTACATATGTTTCTATATGCATGTGTACACATTTTCTATAATGTAAATATATTTTGGTCATATATATATATATATATACACACACATATGCATTTGCATAACATATATATGTATAAATACATATATATTATGCATGTACATATGTATTGAAACATATATAAATATAATATGCATATATTATATATGCATATATATATATATATGTACTGAAACATATATATGCATGGTTTATATATATATAAACCATGCAGCAACAGGGCCATGCAAAAAAAAAAAGGTCAGCTCGATCTTTAGTCCCGGTTGGTGTTACCAACCGGGACTAAAGATCGATCTTTAGTCCCGATTATTTCACCCGGGACTAAAGATAGCGATCTTTAGTCCCGGATTGGTAGTCCCGGTTTGGAAACCGGGACTAAAGGGGGTTACAAACCGGGACTACAAAGGGTTTCAACACATTAACTATTCATTCTTTGCATAGGAGTACTCATTATTTCACTACCTACACCCATAAAAGGCACAAATTAAGCAAGGCAGCGTTGAACAAAGCAGATTAATATATGCGAAGTAGTAAGCGAGGTCAATGGATGTTGAGGAAAAGGTCAGCGTTCCTAATTTCACACTAACTTTATTGTGTCGTTCAATAGAGCTCGGCGGAACTGGTAGCCGCGGTTACGTTGATTTCTAACATAACCACACCATGCCAAAAAAAAAAAAGTTTATAAATAGAACTAAAACGTACGACTTACATAAACCATAAGTGAATTAAACGAAATCAACATGACTGCGAGCGAATCTACAGTGATGAGGTCAGGTGACTTGGACAAAAAGCCGTATATATGATGCGGGTTCAAATATGATCAGTACTGCTCCCTCCGTTTCTAAATATTTGACGGCAACCATTAACTTTTTAAAATATATTTGACTATTCATCTTATTCAAAAATTTTAAGTAATTATTAATTATTTTTTTATCATTTGATTTATTATTAAATATACTTATTGTATACATATAGTTTTACATATTTAATAAAACGAACGGTTAAACATGAGCTAAAAAGTAGAAACGGAGGGAATACTAGTTATGACACCAATAAATACATATGGCAAAGATGGTGTATCATTAGTTTTCGGTATCCACCACTGTTGCTTGATAGCAAAAATGCTCAAGTACTTGCCTCTCATCGGATCGACCTATCCGAGAATATTATCACGAATTATTAACACTACATCTTTAAAAAAAAGATATGTTTTCTCATTAAGAAAATATTTTATGAAGCCTATTTTAATATGGATGAATTAAGATACGAGTGAAAAGTTTCCTACAGAAAGAAGAAAGAAGGTTACATCGGAAGAAAGCTTATACCAGAAGATATCTTATCGCGAAGGAAGAAAGCTTATACCAGAAGATATCTTATCGCTTAAAAGAAACTTACGTCGTGCAAGAAAGTAAGCTTGTTGTGGAAGCCATTTCGCGAGAAAAGCAACTTTATGGTGCAAACCAACTTACATCGCAAGCTAGCTTACGATGGAAGTCTTTGATTTCCTCCGCCTATAAATAGGACCCCGAGGTCGAAGGCGATGACAACTACTCTCTCCAACACCTATCTTCCATCTTTAGCTTGTACTCAAATTCAAAAGAAATAAAGTTTCTACTCGTCCATACTTTATGTGTTCCATAGCTTCTATGTTTATCTCCTTTTGTGTTCATCAGTAGAATAGCTTGGTTCCTTAACACAACTTACCTAGACCATAAGTAAATTAAACGAAATCAGCATGACAGCCAAACATGAGGGGATCTACAGTGTGGTGAGGTCAGGTGACCTGGACAAAACCCACATATAGTATGGTGCAAGTTCAAACATGATTAGTAATTCAGTACTACTAGTTATGACACCACTAAATACATTATGACAACGATGATGTATTATTAGTTTCTGTTATCCACCACTACTGTTGCCGCCAGGTACTCCCTCCATCCCATAGGGTATTTGAATGGATGGGACCTTGTCCAAATTTTTTTTTTGCTAGAATGTGTCTCATTCGTCTAAAATCTATTTTAGGATGAAAGAAGTAGCAAAAATGCTCAAAGTATTCGTCTCTTATCGGATCAACCTGTCCGAGATTGTTGTCACGAATTATTTACTCTGCATCTTTAAAAAAATACGCTCTCTCAAAAAGAAAACATTACCGCACTTGTGTTCTACTCCCTTCGTCCCATAATATAAGGGATTTTGACTTTTTATTTACATTGTTTGACCATTCGTCTTATTCAAAAAATTAAATCAAATATAAAAAACGAAAAGTTGTGCTTAAATTACTTTGGATAATAAAGTAAGTTAAAAAATAAATAATAATTCTAAATTTTTTTTAAATAAGACGAGCGATTAAACTTTGCAAGCAAAAATTTAAAGTCCTTTATATTAAATCCCTTATATTACGGGACGGTGGGAGTAATTCACAGTATTCAATTTGTCCGTATCATCAACTAGATTAATTACTACTCCATCAATCAATGAATCAGTATTTGTCTCAATCTCAAACAAACGAGGGGAGGAGAGAAGAGAACCAAAGCTACTTGCATGCGCGTCTCATGGACACGGATGGACCCCGATCGCGACCGGCCGGCCCAGGGCCACCGCGCTAGCTGCGCATACGCATTTGCGGTCGTTTAATTAACGTGAAGCAGTTGGGTCGCGTGCCCCGCGTCGGGGTGCGTACTACCGGCGTAGCATACACGTACGCGTGGGGAGAAAAAAAAAATGTCCCACTTCCGCCAGGTTCGCGGCGCGCACGCCGCATCCTCCCTCCTCCCGTTTTCCCACCGCCCCCCGCGCGCGACGACGACGACGACACCTCCTCGCCCAAACCGCTGCCGCCGCCTACATATACACTCCTCCGCGTCGCACCACCACATCCACAACCAGTTGCGCCACAGGCGCGCGAGCCACCACCGCAGGCGAGAGATTGTCGTCGTCGTCGTCCGTTGCTCCGGCCGTGACGACGACGGCGTCATGGCGTCCACGGATCCGCTGCTCGGCGGCAAGGAGGAGGAGGAGGGTGGAGGTGAGGTGAGGAGGGCGCGGCGGTGGTGGGTGGGGCGGGTGGTGGACACGGAGGAGGCGTGGGCGCAGACGCGGTTCGCGGTGCCGATGGTGCTCACCAACATGTCCTACTACGCCATCCCGCTGGTGTCCGTCATGTTCTCCGGCCACCTCGGCGACGTCCACCTCGCCGGCGCCACGCTCGGCAACTCGTGGGCCACCGTCACCGGCTACGCCTTCGTCGTACGTACCCCTCTCTCTCTCTCTCTCTCTCTCTCTCTCAACCACACACTACGCTGCCCTGCACTAGTAGTATATGCGCGCGCGTCCACCGGCGGATCCGCCGCCCACGCCGCCGGCGATCCACACGCCCACATGCGCGCGCGACCATGCATCATCGTCCTCACCTCCACACGCGCATCGATAACTCCATTAACTATACGCATAATAAATTATTAATGCTACTTTCATCCGATAAGAATTTTGAAGCAAGCATGGGTATTAAAAATAGGTAGAAATAATAAAAGGAAGGTTGTGATTGCTAAAGAGGAGAAAATAGGTGAAGAGAATGGTTTTGATTGATTCACAGGAGATGGCCGGTGGAAAAATAGCTTTATTTTAAAATAAATTATTGTGCAAAAAAATAACTATATTTTAAAACGGAGGTAGTATATATATATATATATATGTATGTATATATATATATATATATATATATACATACATACATATATATATATATAGTACTATCGGATCACCGTGCACAATTTACATAAAGAACGTCCTGAACATTTCGCCAACGCGTCGCGCTGCCTACGTGTTTCTTTCCCAGCGAATGCCGTGCCGTTCCATTGCCGTTTTTATCTGTGGCGATGATCATCATATGCACTACTAGTATATTGCAGTTGTAGCATTGGCATATGAATTATAACAAAGTAAGATCTACGTATAAGTGACTCAACTACTCACTTACAAGCGACTCAACTACAGCTGTGTTTAGTTCAGCGCAAAGTTTTGATTTTGGTTGAAATTAAAGATGATGTGACTAAAAAATTATGTGTGTATGACAGGTTAATGTGATGGAAAAGGATTAAAGTTTGGATCAAACTTTAGATCTAAACACATAAACACACAGCCTACAAAACTATACAAAGTCAAAGTTCAATTTCCACAGTACTAGTAGATTGCAACCACGTACCTAGCTAGCTACTAGCAGTACTAGTGGTAACAACGATATGCGAATGGCAAACAGGGGTCACATGGATGTATTCAAAGCTCGTGCAAGATACATCGTTTGACCTTAATTTGAATGGGATTGCACACTTCCACTAGAGAGAATCCATTATATGCCACTGACTTTGTCACACATCTACAATTTACCATCGACTTTGTCACATTCTACAATATACCATCGATTTTTGCTTAACTTCTACGATTTACCATCGCCGTCCGATTAGCCTCCGTTAGTACTGTACAATTTTGTCCAAATGACCGAAATACCCCTAAAACAAAAACTTCCAAAATTTGGATAAAAAATTCAAAATATCATATTATAAACATAAGATTGTAAACATCCAAAATTTGGCCAACAACTTAAAATCTTATATTTCAGAATTTTTATCCAAATTTTGAATGTTTTTGTCCCAGGGGTATTTTGGTCATTTTGGCAAATTTGTACAGTACTAACGGAGACTAACCAGACGGCGATGGTAAATTATAGAAGTTAAGCAAAAGTCGATGGCATATTGTAGAACATGATAAAGTCAGTGGCAAATCATAGACATGTGACAAAGTCAGTGGCATATAATGGATTCTCTCTTAATCCAGACGACAACTAGCTTGCCATCATTTTATATCATTTGTTCCATTCTTTTGCTATGTCAAAAGGAAATTTTGGATCTTTGTTAGCCCTACACCAATCAAACAGAACTATATAGTACATCGGATGTGAAATGCCATCATTAACCAAGAGCTATATATAGAAACATTTAAGTGGGCTACCCTAGTACTGAAATGCACGCTTTGAGCGAAGTTAGGTGAAGTGTTATTACAAAATAAACTAGAGATGTGAAGCGTAGTTTAGACTGCTTTATAACTTGTGAAGCTAAATTTTTGTGAAGCTAAATTTAATGGTTGAAACTGTATAAACATGCTCTGAAGTTGAGGAGGAGAAATAGTATACGGCTACGCGAAACGGCTCTCTCTCTCCGCCCCACATATCAATCGATCGGTTTGCCTGATGGTGCCAAAACCGTTGCTTTCTACGACTCCCAGATTGTCCAAGCTCGCGATTAGCTAGATGAGCCATGCAATCGATAGCTAGCGCTCTATCGTGTCTTCTGGAGGATTAACTGATAAATCACCCGGTAGGCGCCGCCCGTGGATTGGAACCACCCGTTTCTCAGAAAAAATTCACCGCACGTCGTTAATTGATCGCTGCGACTTGCACGACACAACGCTTGATTGGTTGTCTCGTTGTGTAGAAGAAACTGCACGGAGAATGCGATCATTTCAACGTGCGTCATGGCGCGAAATTAAAAAAAAAACAACAGATGTTGCCACGGGTTCCATGTATATATACTGACGAACCGGTCGTCGGTCGATCTCCACTAGCCAGCTAGCTAGCTACACACAGAAATCCACAGAAAAAACCGTTCTCCATAGTAGTAGTGCTGTTTTTTGTTTAAAGAAAGCAAAAATTTGGGTGGTTGAAAATTGAAATGGCCTTGAATTCTCGCTCCGGTTTGGTGGTGTCACGCGCTGGAACTGGTAGTATTACTGGAACCGGTCAGGGCACTCCGTCTCACGTCATCGACCAGAAATCGATCGATCGATCGAGTCGCCTGTGGAATGGTCAAAGTTACTCCTACAAGTCAGGCGAATCACCGTCTTCACAGATTTCCGGAGTCTAGAACAACCCGTTTCCGGAGTCAGAGCTCGCTAGTGATAATTTTTTGCTCAACTCCGTACAGGTTTTTTTCCTGTTGTTCTCTGAATTCTATAGCTAGTCCCTGCTATACTATTCACCGAGCGATGATTTCGTCAGCCACCGGAGACAGTACCAATTCAGTACTGCTATTTAATTACTCGCTCACATGCCTATAGTACAGATAACAAAAGCTGCGTACGTGATGAATGGTTAGCACGATGCCATCAATGGCAGTAGGTAGGATGATGAATGGTCCGATGGACGATCGAGTGAAGACGATGAGCAGTGGTGGACACGTCCGATGGATGGATGGATGGATGGATGGATGGATGGATGTAAAGAGACGGGCCAGGCCCCAATCCAGCGTGAGACAGAAAGGCCATTTTTTTCAGCAACCTTTGCTGTCTCCTTGATGATCTCTATAGCGATTGCCCCTCTGAACGAATTGAAGAGCGATTGCCTTTTTGAACGAATCAAAGAGCTTTGCACGATTGCATGTGCGCAAGCATTGCTATCGTTATTATATTCAGCGAACGACTCATCACGTTTGGTGGACTACGAGCAGCTACGGCTCTGTTTATGAAGCTTATGATAATCTTTAACTTGTTCTAGAATCTCCAGCAGCTATCAGAAGCCGTTCTAAATAATATTCAAATTTTGGGAATTTAGAGTTGTATATATTATTGTAGATCATACAGGAAATGGTTTTTTCGATTTTTGCAATTTAGCTTCTAACCATCCGCTTCTCGAAATATTAAGATCCCAGGTAGGCCTACATCACGTATCCGGGGGCCATTTATGATTGATTTGTTTACCGCAAGGGATGGCGTTTGTTGTTCTTTCATTTGGTATGGGACAAATCATGGTCGCTACACCGAATTAAATAGGACCACTAGTATCATATATCCATGGAGTATTTCAATTTTCATCAACTTCTCCCGCTGCATTAATTGTGCCCCTTTATTTTGTGATTGCTGTCGATCTCACGACAGTTCGCCCAGGTTTGTTGCTTATATATGATTATATCTCTTGCAATCTCACTTTCATATACATAAAATCAATTTATAGGTCGCGGTACAAAGAAGTCCACATCATTTAATCATAGGATTCATTTGAAATGCAGGATCAAAGAGAAAACAAATGAATAAGAAAAGCATACAATTCTGATTGAAATTCAACTTCAAAAAGAATTGTAAAAAAATAAAGTGAAAAAAAAACAAGAATAATTGTTTGATTAGAAAAAAAATATGAATCGAATAAAAGAGATAGACTCATAGAAAACTTATATGAATTGATGTATTTCTTAGAAATTTTATAGGATTTAATAGTTTTTAATTTAATACTTCTCAAAGGGCATACCGAAAAAAAATCATATAAAATTTGAATCTTACCAAATTCATACGTTTTTCCGGAGTATCAATGTTGCATTGCATCTGCGAGAATATTTGAAGTTCTTACAAAATGATGGGTAAATTGAAATTTGAAAATGTGGGTGTGTTTGATTCAGACGGGCATGAGCGGGGCCCTGGAGACGCTGTGCGGGCAGGCGTACGGCGCGCGGATGTACCGCATGCTGGGCCTCTACCTGCAGTCGTCGCTGCTCATGTCGGCGGCGGTGTCCGTCCTCGTCTCCGCACTCTGGTGCTTCACCGAGCCCCTCCTCCTCCTCCTCCGGCAGGACCCGGCGGTGTCCGCCGCCGCGTCGGCGTTCGTGCGCGCGCAGGTCCCGGGGCTCTTCGCCTTCTCCTTCCTCCAGTGCCTCCTCCGGTACCTGCAGACGCAGTCCGTCGTCGCGCCGCTCGTCGCCTGCTCCCTGGCGCCGTTCCTGCTCCACGTCGCGCTGGCGCACCTCCTCGTCAACGCGCTCGGCCTCGGCCTCGCCGGCGCCGGCGCCGCCGTGTCCATCACCTTCTGGGCCTCCTGCCTCATGCTCCTCGCCTACGTGCTCCGGTCCGAGAGGTTCGCCGAGACGTGGAACGGCTTCTCCGCCGAGGCGTTCAGGTTCGTCGTCCCCACCATCAAGCTCGCCACGCCCTCCGCCGTCATGGTCTGGTAAGCAAGCACTGACACACAAGCTCAACGCCGGGTTGATCAAACTAAAGCTTAATTAGCTAGATGTAATGAGATTCTTTTTTTTTTCACTATATGAAGCTTGGAGTACTGGGCGTTTGAGCTACTGGTACTGATCGCCGGATTGCTCCCGAATCCGACAGTGAGCACCTCGCTGATCGCCATGTGGTAAGTTCGTCGTTGCGCTGTCCCTTCCATGAATCGATCGCAAAGGAAGAAACTGATCTGATTAATGCATGATTGTGTTCAGCTCGAGCACGGAGGCCATCGCCTACATGATCACGTACGGGTTCAGCGCCGCTGTGAGGTACGTTACTTACATACGCACGCTACCTGTTCGATCGCCGGCCATTGTTCGTCGCCGTCGTTTCTGACCGAACGTTGCACGCGCCACGCGCGACGCGACACGCGCAGCACGCGGGTGTCGAACGAGATCGGGGCCGGGAACGTGGAGGGGGCGAAGAACGCGGTGGCGGTGACGCTGAAGCTGTCGGTGTTCCTGGCGGCGGCGTTCGTGCTGCTCCTCGGCTTCGGCCACGGCCTCTGGGCGGGGCTCTTCAGCGGCAGCGCCATCATCGCGGCGGAGTTCGCCGCCGTGGCGCCGCTGATGATGGCCTCCATCCTGCTCGACTCCGCGCAGGGGGTCCTCTCCGGCGTCGCCAGGGGCTGCGGCTGGCAGCACCTCGCCGCCGTGACCAACCTCGTCGCCTTCTACGTCATCGGCATGCCGCTCTCCATCTTCTTCGCCTTCAAGCTCAAGTGGTACACCAAGGTAGTACATTACTTATACTTACAATCTCACATTAATCCTTTTCATTTCTGCTTCACAAAGATTACATGCATGTGACATTTGATTTGTGTTGCATTGCTTGTAGGGATTATGGATGGGTTTGATCTGCGGGCTGACATGCCAGACCTGCACGCTGATGGTGATCACCGCACGAACCAAATGGTCCAAGATCGTGGACGCGATGCAGGAGAAGAAGGCCAGCTACGTCGCGTAGTTTAACTAGTCTTTGGCTATACTGTAGATTATCGATCGGATTGGATATGTGTATGTATACACGATGAGCATTTGAAGCAACATCTGCGGTTAGCATGTCTGCAACACGCGCGACGCCGGCTGTTGCGTTCGTGCAGTGCGTGCGCCTGCGACGTTTCGCGGGGTTTTGGACGCGACGACAATGCGCGCGAACTGCTTGTTCAAATACAGTTTCTTCAGCCATCTGGAAGCTGGAAGCCTGGAATAGACAAACACCTTAGAGCAAGTATAATAGTAGGCTATAAGCCAACTATAAGCTTAAGGAGAATTTGAAAAATGGAGAGAGTTGGCTCTCATGCAAGAGCTAGCTATTCACATATTTTAAGATAGATACATAGGTGAGAGATAGAGAGAGGAGGAGAAAAAAAAGAGGTAACCTTATAGCCCATTTACTATATATGTTAACTCTAAGATAAGCTATAAACTCATTGTTGGCTCTATTATTAAACTTGCTCTTACAGTACTATTTTCAAATGGTGAGCACCATATATTAATTGTGAAAACACACACACACACCGATGTACACGATGATGGAAATTTACTCCTCTCAAGTTTGATTGAATCTTGTCTGAAGTTTTATATAAACCAAACTAACTTTAGATAAAAGCCCTCCCACTACCATAAAACCTACTTCCTTCGTTCTACAATGTAAAACTTTCTAGGATGAGGACATATCATGTGAAAACAATGTAAGTGTTGAAAAATTATGAAAATCATATATAAAAGTTCCGTAAATTCATGAAAAATATTAAAGATAGGTGTAGTGAAATACATTCTCACCAAATCTCAACTCCAAACTCAATTTTGTTTAAGAGGAAAAAAAAGAGACAAATTTTGGGTGAATAGTGTCATATTACTATTCTCCTAAAATTTGTCTTTTGTCCTAAATAAAATTAAGTTTGGACTTAAGATTTGGTAATAATGTATTTCATGTTTACACTTATCTCTAGTATTTTTTTTATGAATTTATAAAACTTTTAGGTATGATTTTTACGAGTTTCTAACACTTAGCTTGTTTTCACCAGATATGTCCCCTTCTAGGATTACCCAAATTAATATAGATGTTAATGAATCTAGACACATATAGAAAACATATACATTGATCAATGGATGAATCTAGGTAAGTCTAAAAAGTATTACGATATGAAACGAAGGGAGTATCAAATATACCATCTTACTAGTGCTGGTTAGGGAAAAAACTAGCACTGGTAGCGGTTTTTGGTCCCTCAAACCCACACGACACTCGGAGGATAAGAAAAACCACACATGAGACCATATCGATACCAGTTCATTAAATAAACCAATAAAATGTGTGGGACGTTGATGTTGGAACATGTATAAAAAAGAGCTGATATTGATGGGTGATTAAGCTGAGCTGATCGAGCAAGCTCTAGATTGGTTTCGATATATTTAAGTCTAGACACTCTCTCTTGTGTGCGCTCAGAATCGATCCCTTCGTCTCCCTTCCCCTTTCTCTCATGGCCACCTCCCTTTTCCTCTCTCACTTCCTCTCCCTCTTTGTCCCGCCACCGCGAGATTGATTACAGTGGCTGATCGGTAGGCAGCGGCAACTTCCGTCATCTTTCCCAACGCGGCTGTCCTATAGAGCTCGGAAGCCGCTGGATCTGCCCATCATGAGCTCGGGTATGGCTGGATCCGATCAGTGTGGCTCAATGGAAACTTCCCTCCCCCTCTCCCAGCCACCTTGAGCTTTCGAATGCGACGACAAAATAGAACAACAGCTATGGTCTATTCTCAAATATAAGCATTTATATGATTTATTTTTTCCATGATATAAATATTTCTGAGCACTAATTCTAATATGTAGGAATTTAGGCATTTTTCAGCCAATTAGATACTTAGAAAATGAATCTAGCTATCTAAGAAACTCAAGATTTTTTAATATGACCATTGATGAGGTTATCGAAAGGGAATTATTACCTTAACATAATATTTACTAAATAACCTAAAAATGCTTATATTTAAAAATAGGTGGAGTGGTACATTTTGCGGTTAAGCTTTTCTTTTTACTAGTAATCGTGCACGTGCATCAATGCACGTTTTTCATAAAATATATTATAGGAGTACATTGGAAGTTTGGAAACTATATCTACCAAAAATAATTTATTCAACCAAAATTTATAAAATATATCTCATGTGTAACTGTAAAAAAAATATAACCAACATTATCGGTACTTGTAAACATGGGCATGACTGTTTGTTTTGTACAAATTTTGATAGGAGGGAACAAAATAGAACCGAAGCCAAAGGCTATACAGTAGCCGCCTTTTTCTCTACAGCTAGCTGCTCCACTGCTTGATCTCGTAAAAAAAAGAATTTGTCGACAATTCGCTAAATTGACCATCCCTCTTTCTTGAAGTTTCTATTGTTTCGTTCCGTCCAAATTCCCCAACAGACAAGCAAGAAGAGGGTCCTGAGCCCTTTGCTTTGCATCTTTTCTGATAAAGTCTTGTGACACCACCATTCCAATACTGAACAGGCTGAAGGAGGGCTAGCTGAAGAAACTTCAGTCAAGCACAGGCTAATAAATATAGATGTGTAAGACATGCTTCAGACAAACTTCAGTCAAGGAGGTAATGCATCACTGCAAGTTGAATTAAATTAAAAATCAAATATGATAGTTTCACTCACTAGATGTTACAACTCACGAGAATACAAGATTTCGGAAAACAAAACAACTAATAAATATAGATGTGTAAGACATACTCCCTTCGTTCCAAAAAGAATCAACCTAGAAGGGGCCACATACATCAACCTAGGAGGAGTCTTAAGTTGAATTTTAGGAAGTAGGAAGTAAAATCTAGATATTTTTCCCGAGCGTGCAACAAAATAACTTAAATATGGAGGCTCTCTATTACCCTCGATAGAAAGGCGAAGTTATAAAACTCGTTGGAGATGCTCTCTTGGCTGGATTTTTTTTCTTAGAAAGACAGATTTGTCAATTTTCCCAGTCAGACAAATGTAGCAGCGTCAACTAATTAAGGAGCTGATGAACCTTCTTCCAGAGAATGGAGTGTCACGGGCTGTTATGTTTCTCTTGTCACTGTAATCTGAGTACCAGCTACTATGCGTCTGTGCGTTGTTCTCGAACGAACTAGTGGTCTTATCGGTAAAGTTAAAATTTATATTTTCAAGTTGATTTTAAAATATTTTTAACATAGTAGTTTTATTTTCAGAATTGGCTTTTAAGTCCCTTAAAACATGCATATACAAGTTTTATCTATAAATTAATTTTTATTTTCTAATAAACTGTTTTGGTTTATAAGGGAATATGAGTAACCGACGAGGACATAAACAGCTTATCCCGATCTCAAAATTTTAGCAGAATAATGATCAACAAGCAGAAATAATTCAGATAGATAGCGACGTGTAAAGATGCACCAACCACATAGAAATCTCTGTTTCGTTGCGTTTGCCTCGGCGTAGGTTAGGGAGCAGAATTGGCTGTCAGCTGGTGCCTTATCGTTGATTGGAAAAGATATGGAAGTTGGAACAAGCCAACAAACTGTATATGTCATCATTTTAGGGCAAGCCCAAAAGCATTTTCTAGCCGCACCATCGAGAAAGCATTCTAGCCGCTCGATTTCGAGCTGGCATTTTCTCTTCTGGTCGTACAAATTTTCTTCCCTAAATTTTACTTGTTTTCAGTCTTTTTTAACAAAAAGAAAATATTTTAAGCCTACTGTTTGAGAGCGTACTATGCAGCAACAAATATTACAAAAAAATTATAACTAGAGATAGTATTCTATGATGTAATTTTCAGAAATTCACACCGACTTTCAAGTAAGTTCAACAAAACATACTTGAAATATATGTTGCTCCGTGATTTGGATCCCCGTGGACTACGGGAGAGAACCAGGGAATTGGAATCTAATTTCTTAAACAGGTTGTTTGGGTGCCATTGGAGTTGGAATCATCTAAACAATATCGGCTTCCAAGACGAAAATAGTACATATCCACATTTTATATTAGAGTAAATTTCACAAAACTATACGTCTATACGTTTTGTGGTCTATGTTACAGAAAACTACACACACTTTGATACTTGGCACTTAAGTACATATATTTCGATATTTCGGTAGTGTAGTTTTACAAAACCACACTATCAATAAATAAATTCACCGTGAGATGATGTGGCTGTTCCACCTAAACGAGGACGTGGCATCCTATGCTATTAATTTTGCATGACCTCCTATGCTTGTCAGCGCCGGCGCGGACGGCCGTTCCATATTTCCGCCCATCGACGACCACCGAGCAATATCGTGTAGTTCTCACCGCCTTCGGCTTGCATCTCGTCGTCATGTCAGCCACAAGCCAGCGCCTTTCCTCTCACTGCTATCCCCTCGCCGCCGCGCCACGAGGCTCCTCGCTAGGCCTCATCATCTCTCCCGGCGGCCCCTCACCATCCTCTGGTCATCTCTCTCCAATACATGCTATGCTCGAGATGTGGAGTTAGCAGGCAACTCGCTGGCTACATGCCTCTTTGAGTACTGCGGCTGTGCGGCCCCTTGTGTCTCATTCCAGTACTATGGTGGCTCTGCCATTCTGCTACTAACAGGTATGGTTTGGTTCTTTTTTTTTTTGTCCAAGGAATCAATCAGGTGCCCATTTTATAGTGAGTTTTAATGAGCAAGTTCCAACTGAAATTTCACATAGGTATGTAGTTTTTTGCCTCACTGTTGATTGATTTTGTTAAAAAAAACAGTTAATTCATCAAATATGGAGGTTTCTAATGCCTCTGAAATGAAAGTAGTACAAAACATGGGAGCTATAAGGGGAGGACAGGGAATTAGTATTCTCAGTCAGTCCACTATTGTACTTAATTTCAAGTAGATAAATTACGCTTCAGTGGAAAGGATCACTCAGTCTGAAGTTTGTGGCTATAACCCCTTGAGTTAATTGATTGTTCCATTCAGCTTGTAGTACTGGAACTTGACAAGAGAAGCACAATAGTTTGGCGTAGTACTGGAACTTGACAAGAGAAGCACAATAGTTTGGCTGTAGACAGTAGTAGGTGGCTTCTTTCATGTCTGTAGGAAAGTGCTCCTAAACCAAGCACAACCTTCAGTTGTGGTAAGCACAATACAGACCTTAACTCATGGAACTTTGAAATGAAATAAAAATGGTATAATGCTCCATTAGACATGTTCACACATCTAGTTTGATCAACAAGTATTCTTAATAACCAGCTCAACAAATAGTGCAAGAACAATAGACTCAAAACAACCATATAGAAAGGTGATCACTGACCAGAAAACAAGTCACATAATAAAATCCTTGGTAACATATCGCGCTGGGATTGGAAGGCACATATGTGCGTATATTTAGTTGCAGCAGTTTTAGTGGGCCATGCGCATAGAAGTCCAGCTTGTCCCACGATGCCACGTCCTCGTTATAGGTGGAACAACCACATCATCTCACGTGTGA